TGCTTCTACATGAGATCAGAGGCCCAATTTCATTTGAAGCGTTGAAAACTGTACATGGTCACTTACATCCCACTTTCCAATCCGCGTGCAAGGCTCTAGGTCTACTCGAAGATGATCGGCATTTGGATTCAGCTCTTGAAGAGGCAGCACTTTGTCAAACACCGCATATGATTCGAGACCTTTTTGCTATCATTTTATTGTTCTGCCAGGTTTCCGACCCCTTATGTCTTTGGGAAAAATACAAAGAATACCTTTCTGAAGACTTTAAAAAACAACTGCAAAGGCAAGGTGACGTGAATGTAGAGCACTCATCGGACCTGATATTTAACAAATGCCTGTCGGTATTAGAGGATGCCGTATTATCATTAGGCGGCCGTCCTCTTAAAGAGTATGGATTACCTCAGCCAATAACATCAATACATTTTGAAAATAGAGAGTACGTGAAGGAGACCAGTTACGATACAGTGGCCTTAGAAGACGCAGTAAGAAAAAATGAAGCATCCTTGAATGACGAGCAACAGGAAGTTTACAATAAAATTATTACAAGTGTAGATGCAAATGACGGTCGAATATTCTTCTTAGACGCTCCAGGTGGAACTGGTAAAACCTTCCTTATTAATTTACTTTTGGCGAAAGTAAGAAGTACTCACGGCATTGCCCTGGCTGTGGCGTCGTCAGGCATAGCTGCTACATTACTCGAAGGTGGTCGAACTGCTCATGCTACTTTTAAGTTACCACTCAATTTAATCACTGCCGAGACTCCCATTTGCAACATCTCCAAACAAAGTAATTTTGCTGAAGTTTTAAAGAGTACAAAAATAATCGTGTGGGACGAAATAACGATGGCTCATAAAAGTGGTATTGAAGCCTTAAACAGATCACTAAGGGATATAAGGGGTAATACAAAATTAATGGGTGGCGTAACAGTTTTGCTGGCCGGAGACTTTCGGCAGACTCTACCAGTGGTGCCAAAAGGAACCAGAGCTGACGAAGTAAAGTCGTGCATTAAGAAATCTAATTTGTGGCCCCAGGTTAATATTCTTAAGCTCTCTAAAAATATGAGAGCACATTTGGCCGGGGATGACACTGCTGGTAGATTTTCAGATCTCCTTCTTAAAATCGGTAATGGTGATTTTCCATCGTTTGATGGAATGATAACCATCCCGGAAGAATTGTGCACAGTTGTTACTACGGTTCAAGAATTGCTGTCTAAAGTTTATCCAGACATTATTCATATACAAAACAAGCCTATTGAATGGTTATGTGAGCGTGCCATACTTACTCCAAAGAACGATCAAGCAGCAGCTATCAACGATATCCTGCTCATGTCGTTTGAGGGCGAAGAAAGGGTCTATACTTCGATTGATACTGTGGTTAATACAGATGACGCTACTAATTACCCTGTAGAATTTTTAAATTCATTGAAACCGCCAGGTTTGCCTTATCATAAGCTTATTCTGCGTGTGGGCACTCCAATTATGTTGTTGCGAAATTTAAAACCTCCAAAACTCTGTAACGGTATGAGACTGCAAGTGAAAGCGTTACATCGCAATATAGTGGAAGCCACTATATTAACTGGGTGTGCGAAAGGGGAAACTGTATTTATACCACGTATCCCATTAATACCTAATGATATCCTGTTCGAATTTAAACGATTACAGTTTCCCCTAAAAGTCTGCTTTGCCATGACAATAAACAAGTCTCAGGGGCAAACTCTCAAATTTGCAGGTATTGACTTGAGAGAACATTGCTTCTCTCATGGACAGTTTTATGTTGCTTGCTCACGAGTAAGTGAGCAAGCAATTATTATTCACGAGTAAGTAAATATTATTACTCATTAGGTAAAATAAATTATTAATTAGGTATTATTAAATTATTACGGTGGAACTAAAGAAATGGTAGAAGTTCCTGGAAGAGTTATCCATTGGGCTGGAAATATGGATCCAGAGACTGGTTTATTCGAAGTAAGTTTCTGTTTTGTTGTTAAAATTGTTAAAATATTAGAATTTAATATATATTTTTAAATAAATTATTAATTAGGTTGTATTAAATTATTACGGTGGAACTAAAGAAATGGTAGAAGTTCCTGGAAGAGTTATCCATTGGGCTGGAAATAAAAAGACACCACCTCCAGACACTCCCTTTTGTGGTTTTGAAGGATCCAAATGCTCTGATAATGGTACATAGCTTAAAATTTAAATACAGTATTTTTATTGATAAATTGTTTTCAATTAATTATCACTAACTGTAATGTTTTGTTTGTTGAGAATGGCTTCTTACACTGTATAATGTGACTCGAGTGATTTAATCCTTCATTACTATTATGTACAGTACTACGTATTTATATAGGTATATTGTATTATATATTAATAAAAGGGATTAAAGGCGAATTATTGATATAATTTTTGGGTTTTTGGACATTTTTTTTCTTTCTCTACCGCAGTTTACTAATCCCTTTTAGTTTGTTTATTAAATTATATTTATTATGTTTTATAGTAATGATGAATTAAACTTACTATGACACTTTAAGTATCAATAATTATGTGTTTTAAGATCATTGCAAGTGAAAATCGTAATTATTAAAGTCGTTGTTTGAGAAATATTAATATGCATTCATTTTACCAAAATAAAAAAGTTATACACCAAGAAGAAGACGATGTAATCCAGTGAAACTTCATAGTGTGAACGTGATGACAACGGTAATGACTGATCAATATGTCATAGAAAAGGAATAATTTTCCGTGGAATAACGGTAGCAATTTAAAGAAATATTTCTTTAAATTGTAGAATCTCTTGCCTGGAAATATGCAGCTGTAAAATCCGACATCGAGACCTATGCTATTCTGTGACAGATTTTCACAGATATTGCAACTGCCGCTGCAGAATTCTCACACTCGTAGATGTCCAGTTTTGGCATCTACGAGTGTGAGGATTCTGCAATGGCATTTGTGAAGATTCTTTACCAATTTTTACACTCGAGGATGGCCAGTTTCGGCTATCTACGAGTCTCACCAGTTCTCAATGAACGACAAATCAGGAAGGAGACCGGGCAAGGCAAGAAAGTTTAGAGACATACTCTAGCTGCATTCAGCCGAGCATTATCTTGCTAAACTATTTAATACTTTTATAATAATACTTATTTGTTAGTTATTGATGTCAGTACATTACAAGAGAATGCAAACAGGTATCAATACTTTCCTCCAATGTCAGATACTTTCTTTTGAAAGCGTATTTCTAATATTGATTAAATATTTTGTTTTGAAATTGAATATTCTTTAAATAATCCTTCAAGGATTACGTGATGAATGATTAAAGGATTTAATTTTTATAAATTACTTTTTGATTTATTTTATTCATCAACATTACTAATTTGATGTGGATTTATTCAGTTATCTACTTAGAATATAGATTTATATTGAAATATATACTAAATGCCAATTTTTTATTTAACAATGTACCTTCTAGATGTTTTCTGATAATTTTCTTTATTGTCTTCCGGAAAATTTTTGATAAATAATTATTTTTTTATAAATAAAAGAACATCAGAAGTACTCGGATTTCGTAGTAACAAGTAATATTACCCTATTTTTTTAAAATAGTATTACATATCATTTGTTATTTATTGATAATTGATTATTTATGTAATATGTAAGAATATACTACTCAAAATCCAGTGTATTGTATGTCCACTGTACTGTACATAGAGAAGAGGCACCGAAGAACTATAATTATATCTTAAATCTTTTTGATGGTGTTAGAACTATAGAAGTTCAATGGTCTTCTTTCTTTCTTTGAAATTAAGTCGAAAGTTTTAAAGTATGGTTATAAAGAAAATGAATTTTTCATGTTTGAAAAGAGGATATAAAATAGAGTTGTATAAAACTGCAATTATAAAAGTTTAATTGTCATTTTTAATAAAGTTTCATTCGTTTCGTTATTCTTAAAAAAGGGTATGTTTTTATTTGGATAATGTGGAACTACTTTCGAAAGTAATTATTTTAGATTTATATGAGTTAATTTGCTGTTTGTAAGCGCAAAAATACATAATAAATAATTTATTATTTTTCGAAAACAAACTTTAAAACTATAAAACGAGACGATAATATCGATAAAAGAAAGTAAATGATTGTTATTCAAATTTGGAGGAAGTCAAGGCGAAATAATATTTATCTAAGAAATAGTTCAAGAGACTGAATTTATATAATTTACTTGAAATTTTGTCTTACACTTTTATTAATTAGAAACGTTTATCAATATTATTGTTTGAAATAGCATCTGTTAAGCGATTGAAATATATTTTATAAAAATCTCAGTTTATTTTTAATTTAATAATTAAAGATTTTAATGATTATTTGCTTTAAGTCAATAGATTTTCGATATTTTTGCAAAAGCTTCATTAAATTTGGGTTTAAGAGTGAAATCATCAACAATAATGAATAATCTTATAGCAAATCATAGTTTTTTTATAATAAATTTTAAAAGGAAGAAGAATTGTTTATATCTGTTGAAAATTATCAAGCTAATTCTGATAAAGCACACTAAAATGTTTGCTCATTAAGGAAAAGTTATGCTATTAAATGGCACTCTGTCTTTTCTAAACTATAAATATTATCTTCTAATAGTAACACAGGTAAGAAAACCATATCTAGGTTTTTTACTATTAATTTTGTTCTTGGATCAGGACACTTGTTTGTCATAGCAATATGTCGTAAGCAGCTGAGTAGGCAGTGGTTCATAGAAAATGGGGTTTTGTATTCTCAGCTACTTGAAGAATAACTTTCTCAGGAAGGAGGACACAAACTTATTGCATGGTCAAATTCATATTTATGCAGAGGCAAGAATAAAAGAATATTGTTGTTGTATGATTTCATATTATGAACAATATAAAGATAGTGAAAGAAGTTGAGCATGTTTCCTTATCTGGGTCAGACATTTTTGGATTGCCAGTGTGACTTCAGTGTCAAAGAAAAAGTAGGGGCGCACTGTATACTACGAGTTTTCAGAAAAAACCTACATCAATAAACAACCTGTGTGTTTTCAGAAAGCACAGTAGATACAAGTAGCAAGCAACAAACTTAGTCATCTCTTTTTGGTCTCTCCCCACGGCGAAAATAGGGTGGCAAGAAGTAAATATCGTCAACAGAGGAAAACCAAACAACGGAAGTGTTCAACCATTGCTATAAGATGGGCTACGATGGCTTCCATTGGCTAAACTACAAGACATTCGGAAACTTAAGACCGACGTTCCTGCTCAGTACCAAGCATATTATAAAGAATTACTAGTAAAGCAGAACACTCCGAGAAAGCTTCGAAGGCTAACTTTAATGTATAATTATTTGTGTTTTTCAAACAGTTGTTAATTAAGAAATACAATTTCCATTATCAATCATTCCTTAAACAGTAAAGTAATCCTATGAAAATTTTTGTAAGTTTACATAGATTTACATTAATACATAGATTATGTAAACATAGATTTAAAAAAATCTATGTTTAATTTTATTATATTAAAATTTAAATATTTCCCGTAGAGATCCCGGAATATGCCATTGCAAGTTGTATTCTTGCTATAGCTGTGGTTATATTATGTATACTTTCATTATTTATTTATAGGTAAGTTGACATAAAATTTATTAATATATTTTTTAAAATAATGTAATTTTTAATTAATTATGTATTGTATCCGTTTTTAATCATTTATAAAAGAAAATCCTCAATGAATAAAATAGTTTTGAGTTATCATTCATGTAAATATAAATTAATTACCGCATTATATTAACATAATGGTATATACTCATAAAATTTTTGGAAGCTGACATAATTCAAAATTATTTAAATTAAATGTAGGCGAAATAGGCGATTATTTAGGCTTTATCTCAAGATAGAGATGCAAGAATCAATGAAAATACAAAATAAAATGCTAAACTTAAAATAGTAAACTAGCTTTCAAATGCTTCTGGGGACATCAACAATGATATTATCTAGAGCTAGAACTGAAATGTATTTTAATCTATGAATCTACTACATTGCAAACTATAATATTATACCAGAACACAATTAGAAATATCAATCTCTTAGTTAAAATAAAAGTTAGTTGATTTAATCTACACATTAATTTAATATTATACAATAATATTAAACTAAGAAGTACAATTTTTATATTTTGAGGGATTGAACGTTTTACATTGTAAGGATTCTTCTGGAACCTTAAATTGAGGAACGAGTGTTTCAGAAAANCGGGGCAACTTCGTCAATTTCTCTCTTCTTGTAAAGTTGTAATTAGTTTAATTATTTTTATTTCCAAACTGATTTTAACCAGTTCTATAGTAAGGTAACATTCCAATAGACAATATGCAAAGCTTTTTTTTCAGTTTACAGCAGTATTTATTACACAAAATTTAAGTAAAGCTTAACATGCCGATCTTGCCCCGATCTCCCCTATATTTTACATGAACATGCCAGAAAATTTAGCTGAAAATTTTAAAATAAAATATATGAGTTTAACTATTTGAGAACCCGGCCTATTGGCAATCACTTGATTAAAATTCACTCGATTTAAATTTTTTTAAAATTCACTAAATTTATATATGAGCGTGCCTGTATCTGATGCTAATAAAAAATTAAAATTTTAATTTTGGATTTAATTTAGTGACTTTTCTTTCTGAAAATTCACTGTTATATTAACAATAACAATGTGGTATGTATAAAATAAACTTTCATATTAAAAATAGATTTCCTCCTATCGTAGGTTATGACAAAATCAAAACGGGGAAAGTGAGTGGTAAGGCTTTTAGTATGCCCGAAAAATTCTTGGTATATTAAAAATAGATTACGAAATTTTACTAACGTTAATTTCACTATGCTAATTATTTAAAAGTTTATCTTTCGGTTGCAGATGAATCTAATTTACATTACTTAATTTTGATTAATCTGCTTTCGAGCCATTCAATGCGGTATTTAAAATAATTTAAATTATACCATAGTGAAATTTCGTTGATATAAAGCAAATCAAACGTGTATATATTGTTTAATACATGTATTTTAATTATTTATTTTTAATAATTGTGATTCTTGAACGGTCGTAGTTTTTATTTATTTTACTCTATTCTTAGTGTTTATAATTGGATATATATTATATATATAGATATAATTATGTAACAAAATACGAAAAGTTTCAATTATAACATTTCTTTTCTGTTTTAAAAATAATATAGGGTGGCCCGTAAGTTAGTTAACCGCGCTGTATACAGGAAAATAAGCAATTTATACATGTGTTAATGCATTATAATTTGCGTATTTTGCAGGAAATATCTCATTTAAATAATTTTACTAAAGTTTTTAAGTAATAAAATATTTGAAATAAGGTAATTATTTAGTATTTTCAATGGTTAACTGACTTTGGGCCACCCTTTACATTTCACTTAATTTCGTATTACTTAGCGAAATATCAAATAAATATAAACTAAAGAGATAACATAAGATTAAATTGCTGTATATATTAGAATTTTACAATACGCACAGATTCATTTATTAGTTCCATTTTTAAGCGTTAAGTACTCTAATATAATTTCATTGTTTACTGTTAAGCTTACTATCGGAAAATAGTATTTGTTTTTTATGGCCTTATTGAAGTTATATACAAAGATTAAGTACATTTTTTTGTTTTTATTTTGATAATTTGACAAGTCTGCTATTTTGTTCAACTTGAATGTAAGTTGTCACATCATTAGACGACAATCCATTTCCATAAACAGAATTTTTGTTCAGTTTTCATAGACTAATCCATATAGCAGATGTTTTAAAATTGTTCCATTCTATACTTAATTACTCCAAGTAACAACAGGAATATTCTATTTAACTTTTACAACACGTTTACATCATTTCTATAATTTCTTATTGTAAAAAACTATTAATGTCATCAAACTGACACAATATTTTATTATCCTTACAACAGAAATATGATATATTTAGTGTTGAAAGAGTTTTTTTTTTAATCACTACAGAAGAATAATTTGTTTACATTATTATAATTAAAATTTATCATTCTGTTTGAATATTTTCCTAAAGATGTTTTTAAAACAGTTTATTTCAAGATGAGATTCATGAATTTATTCTATTAACCAAGCAATTTATAATCATATTTTTAATTAATTTAATTTAAATTATATGCTCTCCATCTCAAATTAGTAGTGGCTTACCCCTGTACATTACAATTTTCTCTTAACAATAGAGTTGTGCTGGTCATCCACGTAATTTCATTCAGAGGAAAATTTTTGAATTCAATTCACGTGTCTTCCATTTTAGATCGGAAGTTCCTATATAGGTAATCGGGGCCTCCTGTCGCTAAGGTTTCCAAATTAAGTCTCGAGATTGAGGAAGGACAGTCAGATAACAGAGGGGCGACAATGGAAATTTATATATCTACAGTTTGAAAATTGCAGCCTAGTTAAATTTATAAATCTGAAACAGGAAGATGTCCATTTGTAATTTTGAATTTTAGTAATGCCAATATTGTATTATAAATGACAATTAAAGTTTTATTACGAAGTAATATAACTATTCATTTGCAATAAATATTAAATATAATGTTATTTGCTACTTTATACATCAATTTTCTNGCATGTTTCCTTATCTGGGTCAGACATTTTTGGATTGCCAGTGTGACTTCAGTGTCAAAGAAAAAGTAGGGGCGCACTGTATACTACGAGTTTTCAGAAAAAACCTACATCAATAAACAACCTGTGTGTTTTCAGAAAGCACAGTAGATACAAGTAGCAAGCAACAAACTTAGTCATCTCTTTTTGGTCTCTCCCCACGGCGAAAATAGGGTGGCAAGAAGTAAATATCGTCAACAGAGGAAAACCAAACAACGGAAGTGTTCAACCATTGCTATAAGATGGGCTACGATGGCTTCCATTGGCTAAACTACAAGACATTCGGAAACTTAAGACCGACGTTCCTGCTCAGTACCAAGCATATTATAAAGAATTACTAGTAAAGCAGAACACTCCGAGAAAGCTTCGAAGGCTAACTTTAATGTATAATTATTTGTGTTTTTCAAACAGTTGTTAATTAAGAAATACAGTTTCCATTATCAATCATTCCTTAAACAGTAAAGTAATCCTATGAAAATTTTTGTAAGTTTACATAGATTTACATTAATACATAGATTATGTAAACATAGATTTAAAAAAATCTATGTTTAATTTTATTATATTAAAATTTAAATATTTCCCGTAGAGATCCCGGAATATGCCATTGCAAGTTGTATTCTTGCTATAGCTGTGGTTATATTATGTATACTTTCATTATTTATTTATAGGTAAGTTGACATAAAATTTATTAATATATTTTTTAAAATAATGTAATTTTTAATTAATTATGTATTGTATCCGTTTTTAATCATTTATAAAAGAAAATCCTCAATGAATAAAATAGTTTTGAGTTATCATTCATGTAAATATAAATTAATTACCGCATTATATTAACATAATGGTATATACTCATAAAATTTTTGGAAGCTGACATAATTCAAAATTATTTAAATTAAATGTAGGCGAAATAGGCGATTATTTAGGCTTTATCTCAAGATAGAGATGCAAGAATCAATGAAAATACAAAATAAAATGCTAAACTTAAAATAGTAAACTAGCTTTCAAATGCTTCTGGGGACATCAACAATGATATTATCTAGAGCTAGAACTGAAATGTATTTTAATCTATGAATCTACTACATTGCAAACTATAATATTATACCAGAACACAATTAGAATATCAATATCTTAGTTAAAATAAAAGTTAGTTGATTTAATCTACACATTAATTTAATATTATACAATAATATTAAACTAAGAAGTACAATTTTTATATTTTAAAATATGAAATAGATAATAAACGAAAATTTTAATTATTGTATTCGATTTCTTCACAGGGAGAGTAGAGTTTCTTTAATTATCCATTTGATTAATACAGGTTTATAAAAATTACCTCTGTAAGAGGACAATTCTCACATGGCCCTGATAAATTCGGCTAGGCCCGCATTGATGAAGGGTGCAAGCTGATATTTCATGTATTCAACGAAAATTTCTGAACTGACTTGGACTTCAACTTCACTCGTCAAAGCGGGGCACGTAATCTTACACCTCACCCGACCAGTCGTCAATACATTTAATTAAATTAACAGTATAAGTTTGAATGTGATTTTAATAATGTAATTATTTCTAGATCTTACACAAGTAAATCCTAATTGTATTCATTATCGATTAGATGAACAATAAATTACTTCAATCAAACGATTACAGTTAAAATATAATATTAAAATATTATTTAATCGGAAATTAGATGAATTAATGCACATTAAAATTTAAAATTTTGATTATATTTTATCTTCATATTAGTCTAAGAAAGTATTAATTTAAAAGTTAATGATTTTTTAAAGTAATTTTTCCTGGTAATTACAGAATGTTGCAACAAAATGTAATTTATAACAGTATATGGAAGGATATAAAACGTTAAAGAAGTTTGATGATGATGATGTGACATGAGCCTAATGCACTACTCAAGATGACGTTTTCTGTTAGTTTCATTCCTTATTTTTAGATATTATCTCTTGT